AGAAGTTATTAAGGAGACATTGAAGAGGGGTCCTAGGTCCTGAAGGTCCCTGACCCATTCTGAAGAATACAGGCTGGCACAGCACAGAAACATAAAACACAAAACACAAAAGGACAAACAAATAAGACAGACAAAAAAACGAGACAAACCAAACCGGGGCCAAAAGCAACGTCTCCCTATGGCCCTGGGGCAGGATCTCTGTGCTGCGTCCAGCAGATCCACTTCCCCTCACTCTGCAGAGTTTTCAGAATCAGACTTACCTGAGGGACGTCCCGTCTGCCAAACTGAACCTGGGCCCAGGGTTTCCAGATGCTCTCTAGATGGAATTTTGGAGTGGAGACAATTCCAGGGCAGAACGGCGTCTGGGGTGGAGGAACGTCTTCTCCGAGGCCTTCCCCTGGACCGCCCGTCCGCTCCTGGGATGGACCTGTCTCCCAGAGTCTGAGGAGCTCAACCCGCCGATGTGGGGGACCTTGTTTGTCTATCTCGCTGGGGCCTCCAAATGTGGTAGACCAACAAGACAGACCAGACTCAGACTCCGAACTGGGTTCAAATTAAGAGAGCTTTATTAGCCGCGCGGCGACTGTCCCATCCTACTCAGAGGAGAGAGCAGCCCGAGCTCAGGGGGAGGGTTGCTTATATAGTTGTCTGAGCCCCTGTTAAGGAATTTGGATTAAGGGTATGCGAGCAAGCAAGCACGTACAGAAGCAGATATTTGCAGTTAGCTGTTATGCCTGTGTACACAAAGCAATGGTTATCTATACAATGCAGTGGTTATCTATTAGTAGATAGTTCTTGCCATTCCCTTAAAATCCAGGGGGCAAGGTAATGTGTTTGTCCTTTACACTGGGACACTTGGATGACTGAAGAAGCTACCAAATTGTCTTGTCTGCTTCTTCAGTCCCCCTGTGATCACACTCCCCACACTTTAGCAGCATCCAACCTCCTGTTATCCAAAGCATGGTGGTCTCCCTTTCGTCAGAAACAGCACACCTATTGCTTCTGTGCAGAGTTTCTCATTCGCTGCATAACTCCGGTCCACCTTGTATCATCCCACCAAATCTTCATTCTTCTTATCAGTTTTCATAGACTCTTTTAAGTAGGACTAATCACTCCTCTTCCTTCGACTTGTTCAAACTTGGTCCCTTAAAATGTGGGCAGAGGACATAAACAGAAACTTCTCCAAAGAGGACATACAGATAGCCAACAAACACATGAAAAGATGCGCAAGGTCACTCATCACCAGGGAAATGCAAATCAAAACTGCAGTGAGATATCACCTCACTCCTGCCAGAATGGCTGTCAGTAAATCAACAAACAAGGGCTGGCAAAGACTTGGAGGAAAAGGAACCTTTGAGCACTGTTGGTGGGATTGCAAATTGGTGCAGCCACTACAGAAAACAGTACGGAGTTACCTCAAAAAAATAAAAATAGAACTACCTTTAAGACCCAGCAAGTCCACCTCTGAGTATTTATCCAAAGAAATCTAAAACAGCCCTGGCCGGTTTGGCTCAGCGGTTAGAGCGTCGGCCTGTGGTCCTGAGAGACCCAGGTTCGGTTCCCGCTAAGGGCATGTACCTCGGTTGCAGTTTGTCCCCGGCTCTGGTTGGTCGTGCGGGTGGCAGCCACTCGATGTGTCCCTTTCACGTCGATGTTTCTCTCTCTCTCTCTCTTCCTCTCTCTCCCTCCCACTCTATCTGTACCAAAAATGGAAAAATGTCCTCGGGTGAGGATAAAAAAAAAAAAGAAAAGAAATCTAAAACACTAATTTGAAAAGATATATGCACCCCTATCTGTGTTCATTGCAGCATTATTTACAATATCCAAATATGGAAGCATCCCAAGTGTCCATCAATAGCCAAATGGATAAAGAAGAGGTGGTACATATGTACAATGGACTATTACCCATAAAAAATATGAAATCTTCCATTTGTGACAACATAGATGGACCTAGAGGGCATCATGCTAAGTGAAATAAGTCAGACAAAGAAAGACAAATACCATATGATTTCAGTTATGTGTGGAATCTAAAAAACAAAATAAATGAACACACAAGACAGAAACAAACACACAGACACAGAAAACAAGCTGATGGTCACCAGATGAGGTCAGAGTCTGAAAAGATGCACACACTCCTCAGGTTTCAGAGGGTTATTCTCTGAAGGGGCTCCCTGAAGCCGCCACCACTGGGTCTGAGGTCGGGGGAGTGTGTGCTCCCCTTTCTGACGGGGCCAGGGAGCGGACATTCCGTAGCACCTCTGCCTAAACGTCGTCAGCTTCTTCACACTTAGGTCTTGGATGTGTTCACTCCGATATCATTACCAGAGTGGGGGTTTGTTCACTTCTACGAAGCTGAAATAAGGAGTGCACATTCTGTTCTGAAGTGTGGACATAGTTGCTAAATATTGTTTTGTTTTGGACCTTTGGGGGCTTTAGCTAAAACTAAGACAGAAAGTTATCTAACAGAGGCAAGGTACTCTCAGGCAAAGAACTGTGGAGAAAACACCCCGAGTTTCCCATCTTCCTGGAGTGGAATTTGAGGAGGGCGTATAAAATGGCCGTGTCTCCCCAGTGGGCAGAAAGTTAGAACTAGTGGTCCGGCTCAGTCTCTCTGCCCTGGAGGAGGTGGGCAGGACAGTCCTTGGGGTGATTAGAAGAAATGCTTCCTTTGGTGGATCACTCGGCAGTACAAGCAGTCAGTGTGAACTCAGGTTTGAGGACAGTTCAGAGCCAAGACTAAGCTATCTAGTGACATTGTGCGGATTAGAAAAGAGCCCCCTGGGCTCTGTGCAGGGCGCTGACTGGAAGCAGGTTCAGGCTATGTTGCAGCCCAGCCCTGTCCCCTTCGCTCAGCACCATGGTGTGCGTGTAGGATTTCTTTCTTTTGAATTTTTTTCTTTAAAATGAGTGTCTGTCAACATACTGAGAACACTGTAGTGAATTTTTCTTCCTAGAACACTTTTAATCATTTAGGATAATAGTTTCAAAACAAACAAAATAACCAGATAGAACTTCATGGTAAATATCTTTTTTTTTTTTTTTTAATCTTCACCCAAGGATATTTTTTCCCATTTTTTGTTCAGATAGAGAAGAGGAGAGAGAGAGGAAGAGAGAGAAACATTGACATGAAAGGGACACATTGAGTGGCTGCCACCCACACGACCAACCAGGGCCGGGGACAAACTGCAACCGACATACGTGCCTTAGCAGGAACCAAACCCGAGTCTCTCTGGACCGCAGGCCGACGCTCTAACCGCTGAGCCAAACCAGCCAGGGCTAGAAATGGTTTTTAAAAATGGAAATTCTGAAGTTGAAAAGTACAATAACAGATGAAAAATTCACTGAGAGGCTCAACAGTATATTTAAACTATCAGAAAAAAAGTGAATTTAAAGAAAAATCAGTAGGGATTATGGAAGACATAAATCCAACTATATCAACAATAACATTACACATAAATGCATTAAACAATCCAATTAAAAGGCAGAGATTATCAGGTGGGATATAAAACAAGGACCAGTGATATGCTTTCTAGAGAGATTCCAGGGCTTGATTCCCACTAGGGGCACATACAAAAGGAAGAAGGAAAGAAGGCCCTGTCCGGTTTTGCTCAGCGGTTAGAGCGTTGGCCTGCGGTCCTGAGAGACCTGGGTTCGGTTCCCGCTAAGGGCACATACCTCGGTTGCAGTTTGTCCCCGGCCATGGTCAGTCGTGTGGGTGGCAGCCACTCGATGTGTTCCTTTCACATCGATGTTTCTCTCTCTCTCTCTGTTCCTCTCTCTCCCTCCCACTCTACCTGAACAAAAAATGGGAAAATGTCCTCGGGTGAGGATAAAAAAAAAAAAGGAAAGAAAGAAAGAAAAGAAAAATACAAATAAATTGAAAGTAAAAAAATGGAAAAAGATATATTATGCAAGTGACAACCACAAGAAAGATGGAGTGGCTGTACTAATATCAGACGAAATACACTTTAAAACAAAACATGCCACTAGAGCCAAAGGGGGATATTTAAAAATACTAAAAGGATCAGTGCATTAGAAAGATATTATAGTTATGTATATGCGTCTAATACCAGAGCACCGAAATACATGAAACAAAACAGAAATAAAGAGAAATGGACAATTCAATAATAATAGTTGAGGCAGGTTAATAAGAAACTAGGGAGATACCTTGACAAGTGAAATGAGGGAAACTGAGACAAAATAACTAGACAAGGCCAAACAACTTGAGCAATTTATAGCTGTCTCATAAATCACAAGATTTTATGTTCCCTAACCAAGGACACTTAGGAGCAAATGGCTTACACATTCCAGACTGTCCTGGGCAGACCGGCCTTGGTCCCAGTCCCTCTTTAGTAATGTTCTTTAAAAATAAAACTAACCAGAAAATAACCCTGGCCCCTTTACACACACATTCTGATGAATCAACATATTGAAGGACACATCTGAAGGGCTAATGAATATGCTAAGACCCTCCCCTGAGACCTCCCCTAGGTGATAACAAAGCCTCAAGACAAAGGAGTCACAGTATGTGTGCTCTCGGAGAACATGCCCCCACCTTGTATCTTTGCTCTTTTTCTCCGAAGGGACCCCCATTAACCTGCAACCAGGGCAGTAAGGAGCAGCCGCAGCTCCACCTGGGCTGAACACCTGAGCCTGCCTCCAAGGCTCCTTTTTCTCTGACTGTTCCTCTGACTGTTGCTTCTTCAATCTTTTTTTTTTTTTAAGTTTTTTTTTTCTCTTTATTGATTTTTTAGGGAGAGAGAGAGAGAGAGAGAAACATCGATGAGAGAGAACATCGATTGGCTGCCTCCTGCATGCTCCCCACTGGGGATTTGGCCCACAACCTGGGCATGTGCCCTGACCGGGAATCGAACCCATGACCTCTTGGTACCTGGGTCGATGCCCAACCACTGAGCCACACTGGCCGGACTTGACTTATAGCCTTTAAACTGAACCTGTAGGTGAAGTATGAATGCACGATGGACTTAAACATTTACGAGAGAGAATGAAACACTTCATCACTTTATTCTTCTTTCATCACACCATCCGCCTCCTGAAGCCATGGGAAATCATCGTGCTTTGGAATCTAGACAGAGGTGAATGCAGGGGCATGTCTGCAACTTTTATTTCTGGTGCGCCTTTCTTCAAGACCACGTGACGGTCCTCCCCATGGCAAAGCCTTTCACTGTGATCCAAAAACAGAGAGTCTTCTAAAGGGCCAGCATAGATGCCACACATCTCTGCGTGCTAAGAGGGAAAAAAAGAAATCTCGCTGTATCCGACCCTGAACATCACTTTATTTGGTTAAGATGGAAGTTGCCCAATAGTTTTTCTAACTGTCCCTGTGGAGAAGGAAGGTCAGGTGGACAGAGAAGCATCCTTTTTCCAAAGGCAGCGCTCTCGCTGGTGTCTTCCCACCAGGAAGAGCAGTGCACACTGCAGACGGAAGAGAGACCTGGAGTCAGCTTGTGGAACTTGAGCTTCACTCCTTATGTGGCCTTGTATAAGTCACGGACCCCCATGAGACTCAGTTTTTTCAAATATAAAATAGAAACGATGAAAGGATTCTTTGCATTTTGAATAAAATATTACATGTAAGTGAAAAAACTTTAGCCCCAGCTGCTAAGTATATTAAACAGATGTGAAGCGTGTTGCTGCTGCATCACGTTCTTGTCTTAGGTACACGTCTAGTTCTCCGGACCGCAGGCCAACGCTCTAACCGCTGAGCCAGACCGGCCAGGGCCATGTCTAGTTCTGATTCTCCAGGACTGCTGAAATGCATTCCAGCCTGGTGATGGGACGCAGCCTGTCTCTGCTACGCTGGGTTTTCATTGTTATGTTGTTAAGTCGTTAAATCATCTCCCACAGGAAGAAGGGTGAAAGCAAATGGAAGGAAGGAAAGCACACCTAGCATTCACCCAGCGCACTTTCAATTCTCACTGGACTTTCACTTCTACTCTGTAAGGCAGAGTGTTCTGACACCAGTCACTAATTATATTTTTTAAATTGTTAGGAACATTGTCAACTAGCCCAGCCGGTGTGGCTCAGTGGTGGAGCTTTGACTCATGCACCTAGAGGTCACCAGTTCGATTCCTGGTCAGGGCACATGCGCAGGCTGTGGGCCCGATCCCGTTAGGGGCATGCAGGAGCCGGCCAATCGATGTTCTCTCATCGTTGTTTCTATCTCTCTCCTCTCCCTTTCTCTCTCTCTCAAAATCAATAAAGAAAAAAAAATTTTTTAAACATTGTCAACCAAATTTTAAAAGCTATAACCAAATAGCTATAAAAATTATGCTGAATTATAAAGAGTAAGTTCAAGAATAAAAAATGGTTGATGCATCTCTGGCCAGTGTGGCTTAGTTGGTTGAGCATCATCCCATACACTGAAAGATTGCAGGTTTGATTCCCGGTCAGGGCACAAGCCCAGGTTGCAGGCTTAATCCCCAGAAAGGGGGCATGCAGGAGGCAGCCCATTGATGTTACACTCTCACATGAATGTTTCCTTCTTCTCCCTTCCTCTCTCTCTCTCTTTTTTTTCTTTCTATTTTTTATATATGTTTTTTATTGATTTTTTAGAGAGAGAGGAAGGGAGAGGGAGATAGAAACATCAATGTGAGAGAGAGATATCGGTCTGCTGCCTCCTACATGCCCCTCACTGGGGATTATGCCTGAAACCTAGGCATGTGCCCTGACTGGGAATCCATCTGGGACCTGTTAGTCTATGGGACAATGCTCAATCCACTGAACCACACCAGCTGGGCTCTTATTTGATTTTTGATTTCTTACTTACCTTTGTTATGAAAATATCACATAAAATACATATAAAATAATCATCTCAGGGCAAAGGGTAGCTTTATTATTACATTGCATGTATGCATTTAAAAAGAAAATAATTGAGCCATATTTTTAGGATATATTTTTTATATCATATAATAGTCATTTTTTTTTTTTTTTTGTAATGCCATCTCTGTCTAGGCAAAGCATATTCTTCTTCAACATTAATTGCTTACCTATTAGAAATTTACAAATTAGTGATATACATTTCTTGCTAGGAATCCTAACTTGAAATCTCTTTTTGTAGTCTCGATTATTGCAATATATTCTATTAAAGAAACAACTTACCTTTGCACAACCTGAAAAATACATGCCCTGTACCGGAGTTTTAATTTTTTTTTCTTTTTTGATGTTAGAGAGAGAGGAAGGGAGAGGGAGAGAGACAGAAACGCTGATGAGAGAGAGCATCAATTGGCCACCTCCTGCATGCCCCCCACTGGGGATCAGGCCCGAAACCTGGGCATGTGCCCTGACTGGGAATCGAATAGGCAACCTCTCGGTGCAGGGTCGAAGCTCAACCACTGAGCCACACCAGACGAGCCATAGCTTTAATATTAATGGGCCCTACTTCTGATGAGCTTCTTTTGTTTGTTTGTTTTTATTCTCACTCGAGGACATTTTTCCATTTTTGATCAGCTAGAGTGGGAGGGAGAGAGAGGAAGAAAGAGAAAGAGAGAAACATCAACATGAATGGGACACATCGAGTGGCTGCCACCCGTACAACCCAACCAGGGCTGGGGACAAACTGCAACCGAGGTACATGCCCTTAGCAGGAACCGAACCTGGGTCTCTCTGGACCTCAGGTCGACACTCTAACCCCTGAGCCAAACCGGCCAGGGCTCTGATGGGCTTCTTAACAAACGTAAGTGGCATTGTATGGAGAAAAAGCTAGACACAGAGCTCTGAAATCTTTCAGTGTATCTACTTTTAGGATTGTAATTGGGTTATTTGACTAGATATAACTGTTGCTTGCAAGTTTATGTGTAAGTGCATACAATATTTTTGTCAGAGAATAGAATGGTATTTGCCAGGGCCTAGGAAAAACTTAGAAAAGAGGAGATCTAGGTAAAAGGGTACAGACTTTCAGTTGCAAGAAGAGTGCGTTCTGAGGATCCAGTGTTCAGCGTGGTGACTACGATGAGTGATATGGCCTTGTGTACTCCAAAGCTGCTGAGAGCAGACCTTCAGCTGTCACCGAAGAAAACAAAAGTTAACTACGTGAGGTGATGGATGTGTTAATTACATGATCTTGGCAATCATTCCACAATGTATATCAAGTGTTCCCATTGTACACCTTACATATATACAATTATATTTGCCCATTGTTCCTCAACAGAGGTGGAAAAATAAAAACTAAAATTTTAGGTAGCTTTTGTATAATTGTTATGTCTCTTCATTATATTAAATAGCAAAGCTTTTTAAAAAAATTATGAATAATTGTAGGAAAATACCTTCAGATTCACATTCCTGAATTCCATGCTTTCTTTCCAAGGCATAGTATACCGTCTGGGGATCATGCCTTGCTTCAAGGAAAACCGTGGCAGGTGAACCTCACTGCACCTGAAGGTTGGGAAGGCAAGGAGAGAAGAGGCCTCGTGAGTTAAATCGTCGTTTCAGCATCACTCGAGGGAATGGAGCAGCTGTGCCCTGTCCGTGCTGTTCGGACCCCAGCGGCTGCAGGACAGAGAGCTGTGCCATTGTTTGAGGCTCACCTGATGGAAAACGAACCCACGGAACCCCTAAGCATCACCAAGATCAAGAGCCAGGGCTGGATATCTGGACCTCCACCTGCCTGCTGTCCGTCACAACTTGCTCACCTTGTCCATTTTCACCCGATTTTCAGGGGGAACACAGAGCACCGTGATCTGCCTCAGGCCTACCATTGCCTGAAGGAATCTCTGGCCAATCACAAAAAAAAATAGTAACTAATTTAGCTTCTGAATGTAGTATGTGCTCGACCCTGTGAGACTTTCTTTCCCTGCACGCACTTGCTTCCCTCTGGAACATAAAACTTCCTATGTAGGTGCCAGAGGAAAGCACAGAATCATTGTCCTCATCTGATTGAAAACAAAACAAAAGCAAAACAAACCCACACCTCCAAACCCTGAAGTACTCACTTATTCACAGGCTTATATGAATCGTCATCAGAACAGCTGTCCAGTTTAGGTAAAATAGGAGAAGTGTCTTTTGCTGAAGCCATCCCTGCCAGTGGTGATGGGAATTTTCCTCTAGGACTTCACTAACCCATTAGTCTAATTGTGATAACATTGCCACCTCAGACGTAACAATGACGTTGTTCTGCTAACGTCATAGCAACCCATTAGCAGTTCATTAAAAGTGCAGATCTGAGAGCTATTTTCGTTTTTTTTTTTATTAAATACCCCTTTTTTTGTTTTCTTGGAGAACAAAATTTTATTCTAAAAATAGATCTCAGTAACAATGAAATGACAGAAACCAGTCATTACAATAAAAAGGAAAAAAGAGAAATTTGCTTTACAATTTTTTCCTGCAAAATACAATATTGTCACTGTACTATACTGCCAACTCTCATTTATCTATATTTGAATTATTCATTTTATGGATTATTCAAGAAAATTTTTAAATAATTGATTGGATTCTGCTGATTAATTTTTAAAATTTGATTTTAGAAAAAGAAGAAGGGAGAGGGAGAGACAGAGAGAGAGAGAGAAACATCAATGTGAGAGAAAAACATCAATTGGTTGCCTCCTGTAGGCTGCCCAAGTGGGACTTGAACCCATTACCCTTCAGTGACAAAGACAATGCTCCAACCAGCTGAGCCACACGGGCTAGGACTGCTTAATACTTAGATGTACATCTGGATTGCTTTTATCTCCAAGTAAATATATTCTCAAGAAATGCAAACAAAATTGAATATTTGCTTAAGTAAACATAATTAGGAAGATAAATTTATGCTTAGGAAATGCACTCCGAAGCAAAATTTTGGTTTGAATCACTGTTTCCCTCAATTTTTGCGCATAACCAAAAATGCCCCACTGCTTTGAAGTATAGTCAAAAAAGCTGGAAAGTAACAAATTATACAACTTATATAGAGAAAAGACAATAAAATTATTTTAAACCCAAAGCACAGGAAACATTAAAGGCATATAATGACATTTAATACTTAAAAAGTGGTTTTAACCCTGGCTGGTGTAGTTCAGCGGTTAGAGCATCGGCCCATGGACTAAAGGGTCTCAGCTTCAATTCCCAGTCAAGGGCACATACCTGGGTTGCAGGTTTGACCCAGAGCCCTGGGCAGGGTTGTGCAGGAGGTAATCAATCCATGTGTTGCTCTCACATTGATGTTTCTTTCTCTTCCTCCCTCCCTCCCTCCCTTCCACTCTATCTAAAAATCAATGAAAAAATATCCTCGGGTGAGGATTAACACAAAAACAAAAACAAAATCCCAAATCAACCCTTTTTACTTTGAGTGATCTTGATGAGTCTTTTATTATTATTATTATTATTATTATTATTATTTTATTTTTGTTACAGATGTTTCTCCTTTTCCCTCCAGTGACACTCGAGTCTTTACATACTTATATAATATATAGTACATTATATGCATGGTCTGTTTACACTATTTTCAAAAAGAGAATATTGTCTTAAACTAATAGCATTGCCTCAATATTTCTTTTTATTTCTTTTAAGAGAGAGAGAGCGAGCAATTTGCTCTTCACTCATTGGTTGACTCCTGCACATGCTGGGACCAGAGACCAAACCTGCCACCTTGGCGCACCAGGAGATGCTCCATCCAACTCAGCTGCCTGGCCAGGGCTCAGTATTTCTTCTTTCCACTAGTCCTTGAACTTCCTTAAATGATGGCATCATATTCACCAGTGGTTCTGTACCGATTGCCTCTTTTTGAATAATACATTTTACATCCAATGTAAAGACAGAAAAATTCCCAGTGTTAATGCATTACAACCCACAGAGCTGCCAATATAAAAATTTGATCCTTTATTTTCTTTAGAATTTAGAGTTGCTGTGATTGTTACTGATGAAGAAACACATCACTGAACTTCTGTGGTCCTCATGGATGTTGACATCTGGGGTATGTTTTGTCAAACACTTGTTATTTTGGGTGTGAGACCTGGTGTTGTCATTTTAAATGTTGCTATGGGTTTCAAGGTGGTGACTGTCACTGAGGAAGCTGGAGTTGTAGGTGGTTTCACAATGCTGTTGGAAGGGTCAGTTGTATGGCTGAAAGGCACATGTGGAGATTCCCTATTAGTTTAAAAGTGGGGTTTTCAGGAAGTGTAGAAGTCTTTCTGCTTGAAGATCCCACCGGCTTCCCTGTAGTGGACTGCCTAGCAACAGCAGCGCACCCCCAAGATGAACACAGCCCAGCCACCTGGCGCCAAGTCCCACTGCTCTGGGGGCAGGACCTGACAGCCTCGTGGGTCCCCAACTGAGGTGGCGGTGGCACTAGTGAGAGCTGCCCTTCTGCGCGTCCGTGTGGATCCACGTCTCCTGCATCCTGCCCCCCGATGACCGACAGAGCCCAGCCAGGGTGGCAGGCTTTTATACCCCTTCTAGAATAAAATATAATTCTTATCATGATTAAAAAATAAGGATGCTTGCAGACATACTAGAATGTATATTGGACTAGACAATTATGCACAATCACTTCATGTTAATATTCTGTGTCTTTAGCTGATTTTTCCCTTTATATATTGCACAGGGTTAATGTGTCCAATTTATGTTAAACCAACTATTAATTAGACATGTACTTTAAAAAAATTTTTTTTTCTTGATTTCAGAGAGAGGAAGGGAGAGAAAGAGATAGAAACATCGACGAGAGAGAACATCAATTGGCCGCCTCCTGCATGCTCCCCACTGGGGATTGGGCCCACAACCTGGACATGTGCCCTGACCAGGAATCAAACCAGTGACCTTTTGGTGCATGGGTCGACGCTCAACCACTGAGCCGCACCGGCAGGGCTAGACATATACTTTGAATGTAAATCAAATTTGTGTAAACCCAAACCAATTCAACCCATTTTACCCCCTAATATTTGTTATACTGTAGAGTGTTTTAAATATTTTTAAAATGTTTTTATAGATTTAGACAGAGAGGAAGGGGGAGAGTTAGAGATAGAAACGTGTGTAAGAGAGAAGCATCCATCTGCTGCCTCCTGCACACCCCCTACTGAAGACCGAACTCGTGTCCTGACCAGGAATCAAATCTTCGACCTCTTAGTGTTATGGGTCGAACTTGCCGGGCTGTGGAAGAGTATTTTAGATTATAGAAACTCATTTTAATAAAGGCAGGTTACAAGTGAGAATGAGCACCTGAATGACTAGGACAAGAGGTGGAGGGTTATTATTGTCAATCCTACTAGGGCAGCGAGTAGGAAAAATGTCAAGGCTGAGCAGAAATTACAGCAAAATATACTGACTGGTACACTGAGTGTTAACTGAATGCGTATCTGGCAAGTTTAGATACATATCCCTAGATCTGGATACACAGAGAGATTTAGAGAAGAGTAATTTTAATACACAAAACGTTAGGAATCTGAAAAATTGAAGTGTTGGTTTCTATATGTAACAGTAGGATGCAATAAAAGCCAGAAATCCGTGTGGATTCCAAGTATGAAGGAAACAACTGTTGAAAAAAATGAACCGGGAAGGTGGGGGGAGGAACAATCCATTTAATGAAGATAAAGTAGCCTATCAGGCCTTCATGCGCATCAAAAGCCTTAACTTTCACTGCAAATATCAGCTTTACATGAATATGTGGCATTTAGATTTCTGAATGTTATTTTTCCTAATATACTATACTTTTAAAATCACCTCTCAGAAATAATCGCAGGGCTAATATCCAATTACCTATTTAAAATACTTTTCTTTCACCCTGCTTGGTTTGGCTCAGCAGTTAGAGCATTAGCCCGCAGACCAGGGAGTCCCGGGTTCATTTCGGGCCAAGGGCATATACCTCAGTTGTGGTTCGTCCCAGGCACCAGTTGTGGTCTTGCTGGTGGCAACCAATAGATGTGTCCCTCTCACATCAATGTCTCTCTCTCTCCCCGCCCCCCCCTCCCCCCATTCCTCCCACTCTATCTGAAGATAAATGGAAAAAATCCTCTGGTGAGGATTAAAAAATAATAAAAAAATTAAATAAAATACTTTTCTGTCCTTGGTTATAATTTTATGAAAGGCTATTTGAGGTTAAACAAATAAAGTCACTTGAATCTCATTAAGCACTGCCAAAACTAATTTTATTTTTGCATTCTTTATGAATAAAAATCAACCAGTAACATTTTTCTCTTCCTTTCCCATTTAGCTTCTTAAATCCAACTTCAATGACCATGTATTTCAGTAACTACTGTGTTCAAGTACATTGCTGAAAAGAACAGTTCGAAATTCCTTCCTACATATTTTTTGCTTGATCTGTTTTGTAAACTATAGTCATGTCTTGGAACATCTTAAGTAACCTATATTTAGAAGGCTTATTCCTTCAATAAAAATGAATAATTTGAAAATCCATGCAGATGTGACATACTTAATACTTCCTTCACATAAGGTAAAGCAGTCTTAGGCAGGCCACCATTGAAACAGATTTGAAATGTCCATGGTAATTAATCACACAGGTATGGATCACATTCAGTATTTAGTGTATGACCAAGCTAATAAGTAAAAAACAAAGTTAAAAAGACAAACAAAACAAAGTTCAAGTTACAAATCAATACATTAAAAAGCTTCTGCTGTTTATTTACTTTTGGACAAATACTGGGAGCCATCAGTAGAAACCTATTTGAATTTTAATCACTATTCTTAAAATAGCCTAAGAATTCTTAGAACACAAACTAAATTTGGATGCATGTGTAATAAATAGTTTAACAATTTATGTGTCTCATTAGGATCTTTTATGGAATGTTTTGAAACCAGTCATAATTCACAGCAAAGATAAATAGGAAAAAACAAACAAACTCTTGAATGGCATGTTATAATGACCTGGACAAAATTGATTATCAACTAGTTATAATTAGCACATGGAACAGATTAAGAAATTAACTCCTCTGCTAGATACTTTTAAGTATTTTGTCAGATATGAGAAAATTCTAACCGTTTCTATCAATCGCATTCATTTCCCCATATTCAGTTTTATTTAAAACAAGAAAACAGGTCTTTCCAGATTTTCATGTTTATCAGTGCAAAGTAAAACAAAGCAATTCAGTAGAAATGGTTTATTACAATTATTTAGGAGTTCAGTCCTTCCTAAATGAACTAAAAAATGTCCAAATCATGAGAGTGGTCAACCTCGATGGCCTCCTCTGCATCCAGCTTGGTCTCTCCATGTCCCTCCTGTGATTCGTCGAGAGAGGCCAGGGCCTCATTTGTGTCACTTGCAAAAGTTTCTCGTGATGTATCATCATCTTCTTGAAAATTCAGACTTTTAATAGCTTGTTTCATCTTCTTCCCCAACAGTTGTGTTCTCCTCTTCCTAGCAGCTTTTTTATTTTCATATTCCTTTTGATTTTCAATGTAGAAAATGTCCTACAATCAAGAAACAATTTTAGTAAATAAGAACTACCATTTATTAAAAGGTTGTTATAAGACAAACCCTTTACATTATCTCCATTTCTCACAAAAAACAAACCATTATTATTAGACTCAGACACAGAGTGCAAGACAGTAAATAAGTCCCCACTGCAAAAGGGGATGAAGCCATGATGCAAACTCGACCTAGTGATAGGTCTAGGGCCCATGCGTATTATATTGTAACACATTATGTCTACAGGTAAAGTTTTCTAAATGGAAAGATACAGCAGGCAAACCATGTTGTTTCGATTTAAATGAAATACTGTATAATTACCAGAAGACTTTAGAATGAAGATTTACTTTGAAATACCATCATAACCATGTGCTGAAAAACAAAGTTATTCTTGAATTGTGCGATTAAGTATGATAATGTAATCTACACAATGCAAGAACAGTTCCATAACTTAAAAACATGACTGCAGCTCTGGCCGGTGTGGCTCAGCTGGTTAGAGTGTCATCCCGTGTACTGAAAGATTGTGGGTTCGATTCCTGGTCAGGGCACATACGGAAGGCAACCCATCAATGTTCTCTCTCACACTGATGTTTCTCTCTCTCCCTTCTCCTCGCTCTAAAAATCAACGCGCATATCCTCAGGTGAGGATTAAAATAAATAAATATACAAATACATAAAATAAATAAAATAAAAAACACTACTGTAATTCACATGAGACAATGTAAGTCTTTGTCAAAAACTTTTATCACAAGGCATAAAGATAACAGTCAGCCCTGGAATACATTCCAGGATGCCAGAAAAAGGATTTTATAGCATAAAAATATGAGATTCTTTTAGTATAGGGTTTCTCAACATTGGCACTACTGAAATTTTGAGCTGGATAATCCTTTGCTGTGGCAGTCTGCTGTGTGTATTATAGAATGTTTAGCAGCACACCCAACTTTGTATTTTCTTTCTTTCTTAAAGAATAGTTTATTGATTTTTTTTTTAGAGAGGATGGGAGAAGAGAAAAACATTGATGTGAGAACTAACTCCATGGGGGACTGAGCCCAAAATCCAGACATGTCCCCTGACCAGGATCAAACCAACAACCTTTCAGTGCATGGAAGATGCCGAACCAACTGGGCCACATTGGCCAGAGCTGACGTGTTTTCTAAAACAAACCCTTAAAGTACTAGGTCACATACAAAACAAAATCAAATGGAAGAAAGGAAACCAAGCCCACTCAGTTTAGTTCTGGCTCCCAAAGTTTGCAGACTGATTGTTAGCAACATACCGATTAAAAGAATAATTATTGTATCATCTTGATGGCATATGAAATTACCCACAGTAAAATTCTATTTGCCTTCAGGTTTTTCCCTCTAATAACAAAGATACTCAATCCATGAACATACAGAAAATATGGTAAAAAAAAACCACAACACAACACCAGAAAATCTTTTTTTTTTTTTTTTTTTTTATCCTCACCCGAGGATATTTTTCCATTTTTTGTACAGATAGAGTGGGAGGGAGAGAGAGGAAGGGAGAGACAGACAGAAACATCGACGTGAAGGGACACATCGAGTGGCTGCCACCCGCACGACCAACCAGGGCTGGGGTCAAACTGCAACCGAAGTACGTGCCCTTAGCGGGAACCGAACCCGGGTCTCTCCAGACCGCAGGCCGACGCTCTAACCGCTGAGCCAAACTGGCCAGGGCAACACCAGAAAATCTTAAAAGCCAAACATTTATAATCCCTCACAACAGACCAAATCATTGGTATCATTTTGATGTTTACATATCAATCTATTGTCCTATGCCTCTTTTTCTTTATAAATTTGTATTTTGCCTCTTACAAAAACTCAGTATTACTGTGCATTTTTTCATTTCCTTACAATTGCTTCACAAAAATAACAATGTCCCTATAAGTCAACATTCCACTATTAGATATTCCAAATATTTCTAGTGTTTGTTATTACAATGCATTGTTTCTGGTAGTTTAACATAAAAACCTAACATTAAAATCCCCTTCTTGCCCACCCAGTGTGGCTCAGTGGTTGAGCGTCGACCCATGCACCAAGAGGTCGCTGGTTTGATTCCGGTGAAGGCACATGCCGGGGTATTGGGCTTGATCCCCAGTACAGGGGCGTACAGGAGGCAGCTGACTGATGTTTCTCTCTCTTTCTCCTCCCTTCCCCCCCTCTCTAAAAATCAATAAAAAAATATTTTAAAAAAATATCCCCTTCTCCACAGTGAGTTAGAATTGAATTTCAAAGGCATATGAGTCAGTGAAAACAACACAGGTTTGAAACCAGTGTTCGGTGTGATCCCAGGCACATAATTTTTATTCCTCTTCATTTGCACAACAGGGTAACACCCACTTTGATTGCCTGTGGTAAAGATAAAGTTATATAAATATTTGGCCCAATGCCAGGTTAAGGGTCAATAAATGCTATTTTCTTCTCTTGCTTCTGGAAATTGTTTGCCCAAGGTTTAGTTACTTACAAAAAGCTTTTATAGCAGTTAAATAGGCAGAGCACATATTAAAGTTCCCACTTCATAGATGAGAAAACAGAGGCCAAGGGAGAGGAGGTGATCTTCTCATGGTCCATATAACCATAAATGGCAAATTTAAGATTAAAACACAGATTTTGAATCTTAAGAGAATTCTATTCATCACATCATGCTATTTCTCTAAATACACTAACATTTTGCTATCTAATGAAAGCCCAAAAATGTTCCTTCTAAGTACACACTATTTATCAGGGGCTATACTGGGAGAAGTGGGAGAACATTAAGGTATAAACTGTTCTACCACTCAACAGCTGTGCTCCTAAGAAAATTCACATTACAAATTTATGTTGTCAAAATAATTGTTCCAATAAGGCCAAAAAGCAGTTACTGAGTAGAGATTTCAAATGTGCAACAACAGTAACATTTCCTGTAGCAATTTCAATAACAGATCTTTATTTATTTATTTTTTTGTTCAGATAGAGTGGGAGGGGGGGAGAGAGAGAGAGAGAGAGAAACATCGACGTGAAAGGGACACATCAAGTGGCTGCCACCCACACAACCCAACCAGGGCCGGGGACAAAATGCAACAGAGATACGTGCCCTTAGCGGGAACCGAACCCGGGTCTCTCTGGACCACAGGCTGACGCTCCAACCGCTGAGCCAAACTGGCCAGGGCCAGTAACAGATCTTTAAAATGTGACTCTGAAGTGAACAGAAAACATAAGGAGAAAAACCATAACATGTAACAGATGCAAAATATGTCCGTTCACATCAGCTCAAGAAAAATGGCTTTTGTTACATCATTAGTATTATAATTAGTATGGTTAAAACATATTCCTATTACTTTTATCACCCACCGTAATAACAAAGAGAATACACTTCTTTTTTTTTGTATCCTCACCCGAGGACATTTTTGCATTTATCTTCAGATAAAGTGGGAGGGAGAGAGAGAGAGAGAAACGTCGACGTGAGAGAGACACATCGAGTGGTTACCACCCACACTACCCCAACCAGGGCTGCGGTCAAACTGCAACCGAGGTACGTGCTCTTAGTGGGAACCGAACCTGGGACTCTCTGATCTGTGGGCCAACACTCTAACCGCTGAGCCAAACCGGCCAGGGCGCAACACTTTTCAAATATAGCAGCTGTAAGAAGTTAGATTCTTGATTATATCTGCTAAATGAAAATCATGTTCCTTCATTAACAAATTAAAAGAGGTCAAATTCTGAGTGAGGAAACACCCACATTATAGAATTCTCATATAAGATATTCTAGTAACACAAAAATGATGAAGAATACTGAAGTGCTTAGCTTCTAGCTGATAAGAAATACTGGAGGTAGAGGGATGAACAAAAGAAACCCACGAAGAAACAATCACCAGAATGTAGTCCATTCTTTAAGACAATCACTTAGGACTCTTCAAAAGGTGTAAATCATGGAGGAAAATGTGGGACTAGTAAGATCAAAAGAGAGATAACAAATGGAACATGGAAATCTGGACAGGATCCTGTTTGAGAGGAGAAAAGGGTTGAAAATAGATTCTTGGGACAATTCAGGATCCTGGAGTAAAGTCTAGAAACTGGATGATTTTGTTTTTATTTCTCTTAGGTATGGCTATGTAGGGTATTGTCCTTATTACTCAGAGAGGTTTGTTGAAATAATTAGGGATGAGTGTCATGATGTTACTTATTTCCAAACGGTACCAAAAATAAAAATAAAAAAAGTACAGTCAAGTAAGAATGTTAAAGTATCAATAACCCCTGAATCTCGGTGCAGGATATATGGGTACTCATCCTATTCTTTCACTTATTCTGCATGTTTAAAGTTTTCAATAATAAAAGTTGCAGGAGGGTAGAGAAATAATTAGTGCTAAGAAACCAGGAAAAGCTGCCATGAGAGAAACCTCGCTGTGGCTCTGCAGGGAGGAAAAGGGGCAGAGCTCTACAGAGGACGGGTCTCACCTGCGATGAGACTCTGACAACACTGGCCAATTTAAGGCAGAGCAGGTGATAAAAATTAGTAGAAGATGAAGCTAGATGCTGAGTGGAAGTCAAATTAGTATTGATCTTAAAAATTAAGAACATTATCTGATTTACCTTAATTTGTTCCTCACTGATACTAGGAGTGTTTTTCAGGAGATTTAGAAAAACTCCACCTGGTGTTCTTCTTCGACTACCATTCTACAAAAAGAAACAGAAAAATTACACTGGACGATTCTTCCCACAAATGGCCAAAGTAGCTTTTATACAGAGATGTGCCTAAGGTAATAAGGTCTCCCCTGATCACTCCAGGTTAACGGCAATGCCCTCCTCTTCTATTTGACCTATTTCTTTTCCCATAGCACTTATCACTTTGAAGATATTCTACTGTTTCTTTACAGACTGTCTCCCTCCCACCCCCACTACAACATAATCTTCCTGTGTCTAAAACAGTGCCTGGCAAACAGGGATAAAAAGGAAAAAATGCATCAAAGAAAGTGAATTTGGACTTCCACCATACCAACATTCAGTACACTTGCATTAGCTCACTGGAATATAGTTTTATTACATTACTATAGAATTAAACATTGATGAACATATAACTTTGTGCTCAACTAACTGAAAATCAAAGTACTTTATTCAACTTTTTAAAAAAATATGTTTTTATTGCCAGGCCGGTGTGGCTCAGCGGTTGAGCGTTGACCAGTGCACCAAGAGGTCACTGGTTTGATTCCTGGTCAGGACACATGCCAGGTTTGGGCCTGATCCCCAGTAGGGGGCATGCAGGAGGCGGCCAATTGGTGTTCTCTCTCATCCATATTTCTGTCTCTCTCCCCATCTCCCTTCCTCTCTAAATCAATGAAGGAAAAAAAAAATTAAAAAAAAAAAAAAAAGGAAGCTATTCACATTTCATCCTCACCAGGAGATGAAAGCTGAATTAAATGAGATCTGCAGAATCATTCTATGGGATAAACTGCTGCTGTCTGGGATCTGGCCCCCACCACAGGCGAGCTCTTGCTGCCATTCTGAAAACGTTACATGTTTCTCAACCTAGTTTTCCATTGTTTCCCCCACCGCAGGAGCCTTTAGACATTTTTTTTCCTATTCACCCCCACCATCCATGAAATTTTAATACTTACAGATATACTATATATCTATTGTGCTTTTTACAGAAGAGTATTTTTCCCCAAGAACCAATTTTTTTCCCCCCAAGAACCAATTTTTAAGGATGAATGAGTTAAACGAAAAGTAACACTTCTGTTCACCACTGCTAACTAAGTACTGGGCATTATGATAAGCGCTTTCCATGCATCATCTCATCTAGTCCTCACAACACGAGATTAACTGCCATTTTACAGCTGAGGAGACCGAGGCTCTGAGAAATCAAATAATTTAGCTAAATCTCACACCTAATACGTTGCAGACCCAGAACTCAAAACAAGGATCCCCTAACTCCAAAACCCATATTCTTAAATCTGAGCTTCCAGGTGAGTGTGTGGTATGCACACTATCAGGCTACAATTTACATGTTTTTTTCTACACAAAGCATTAAAATAGACAATACTTACTTTTTCATTCAGTCTCCATTGTTAATAAAGATTTAAAAAATATCAAACTAATAATTTATGGCAAATTTATGATCCAACAATCAGAGACAAGTTTATTTTGTAAAAAAAAAAAAAAAAAAAAATCACATGAAGCACAATTTAAAAGGGAAACAATAGTCTTACCATTATAAAAAGGCCACCATTTTGTTCAACTTCAGCAGTTTCCATCAGAAGTTCAATTGCCTTTTTGTTCCCGATTATACTCACTATTCGGGCTATCAGATCTTTCTTTGGTTCCTGCAACCTGATAAGGATCAAAAAAAGTAATATTAACCTCTTTATTTGTTGTATAAAATTGAAGAAATCTTCCTTAGTCTCCAGTTTAGTCTTCAACCAGAATTAATTGCTTTTCCAATTCTTCAATATTTAACCTTAAATCAGTGACATGGAAACATTCCTATCTTGGGTCACCCAAGGAGTGGTAACCTCAAGGTTCCCGTTCAAGTCTCCATACTGGCCTCTTCACTTTGCTTTATTGGATTATGGCGGATTTCAAAGTAAATGTGCACATACACTGAGGGGAACGCAAGCCTAAAGCAAAAAACAGAACCAGTCCACTCCATCAAAACAAGTAACACGTACTGGCTTTCCATTATTAAGCCTGGAAGTTAGCTCCCTTAAGTAGGAGATATCTGGGAGCTTTAAAGTGGATAGGATTTTCCCTCAAAGGCTCCCCACTTCAGAACAAAGGATATAGCTAATATTCACTAATGGCTTATTATAGGATAAACACAATCCTAAGTACTTTATATGCTTTATCTCAGTTAATTCTCTTAACAACCTTATGAAATAGGCATTACTACTTTCACTGTCACCCAGAAGTAAAAACACCAGGAGCCTAAGGAACACTTGTAAGGAAAGAGCCCACACTCCAGAGTAGGAGGATTGATACTTACAGAAGTCTTACCAGTTCCCTAACTAGACCTGGCTTCTTTTGTTTCTTCTCAAAAGATGGCAGTGCAAAGAGCACTAGATTAGGCACAAAGGGACCAGAGTTTAATTCCAGGTCTGACACTTACAAAATTTGTGACTTTGGGCAAGCCACAAAACTACTGGGCCTCAGTTTCCATATTCTATAAAGTGAAGGCTTTGGTTTACACAATCTCAGCTTCTTTCCAGCACTGAACTTCCAAACTACCTCAGTAGTTTAAAAATCCAGTACTAGTGTTAACAGGCTTGCCTGGAAAGTAAATACTTGTGTTCCTACTAGCTATATTACTCTTGATCCATATTTGTTTTCAAATCTGTGACATTGTTCATTAGTGATTCAGAACTAATGAAATGTGGCCCAGCTGGTGTGGCTCAGTGGTTGAGTGTCCACCCATGCACCAAGAGGTCGCCAGTTTTATTCCCGGTCAGGACACATGCCCAGATTGTGGGCCAAATCCCCAGTGGGGGGTATGCAGGAGGCGGCCAATCAATGTTCTTTCTCATCAATGTTTCTCTCTCTCTCTTTCTCTGTAAAAATCAATGAAGAAAAAACATTATAAAATTAAAAATACATGAAATGTTAATTTACATCAAGCAATTCTACTCTGAGGTATTTGTAACTACAGAAAGTAGATTAGCAGTTATCTGGAGATGGGAACAGGAGTTACCTTAAAATGGGCATATCGGTACAAGGAATCTTATGGGGTAATAGAAACATTTTAAAACTGGTTTATGGGCCCTGGTCAGTTTGGCTCAGCGGTTAGAGTGTCGGCCTGCGGTCCAGAGGACCCGGGTTCGGTTCCCACTAAGGGTATGTACTTTGGTTGCAGTTCGTCCCCGGCCCTGGTTGAGTTGTGTGGGTAGCAGCCACTCGATGTGTCCATTTCACGTCGATGTTTCTCTCTCTCTCTCTCTCTCTTCCTCTCTCTCCCTCCCACTCTAACAAAAAATGGAAAAATGTCCTCAGGTGAGGATGAAAAAAAATAAATGGTTTATAGCCCAGCCGGTGTGGCTCAGTGGTTTGAGTGTTCTCCCATGGACTGTGAATCCCCATGCGATTCCCGGTCAGGGCATGCCCAGGTCATGGGCTCCATCCCTAGTAAGGGGTGTGCAGGAGGCAGCTGATCAATGTTTTTCTCTCACATCGATGGTTCTCTCTCTCTCTTCCTTCCTCTCTCTGTAAAAAATCAGTAAAAACATTTTTTTTTAAAAAAGTGGTTTATGGTGAGGGCTGTATAACTGATAAATTTATAGAAATATCAACATTTGAAATGGATAAATTTTACCATATGTATAATATGCCTCAATCAAGTAACAAAAAATCGTAAATGCTTGAAAACACTCAAAAACACCCCACATAATTTAAAAAGATATGTTTTTATCTAAAGAGCCGTAGAGCAGTAAATGGAAAGAGTTGCTTAAAAGTTCATAAATGTTGTCCAGCCAGTGTGGCTCAGTGGTTAAGCATCGACTCATGCACCAAGAGGTCATTGGTTCAATTCCTGGTCAGGGCACATGCCTAGGTTGTGGGCCAAATCCCCAGTGGGGGGCATGCAGGAGGTGGACAGTCTATGTTCTCTCTCATTGACGTTTCTATCTCTCTCTTCCTCTCCCTTCCTCTCTCTCAAAATTAATAAAGAAAAGTTCAGCCCTGGCCGGTTTGGCTCAGCGGTTAGAGCGTCGGCCTGCGGTCCTGAGAGACCCGGGTTTGGTTCCTGCTAAGGGCACGTACCTCGGTTGCAGTTTGTCCCCGGCCCTGGTTGGTTGTGCGGGTGGCAGCCGCTCGATGTGTTCCTTTCACATCGATGTTTCTCTCTCTCTGTTCTGCTCTCTCTCTCCCACTCTACCTGAACAAAAAATGGAAAAATGTCCTCGGGTGAGGATAAAAAAAAAAAAAAGTTCATAAATGTTTACAGAATTATTCTATTAACCTTTCCAAATTTAATAAAATCCAAATATAGTCATAGAATTCGTTCCTTAAATGTAAAAAAATAGTATAAAGGAACACTATCATTAATGTGTTTGGAATCTATTTTACTTCCTACAAATGGAAGATAATTGATAGTTGGTCAAGATCTCGTTTGTAGGAAAAATTTAAATGCTCACCTGAAAGTAATTTCATCAGCCACCTTCTCCTGAGAATCATCCTCTGTGATCTCATACCGGCCTTTATAGTTCATTTCTAGTCTGTCCCCTAGTCTGTCTTTGACAGGTCGTTTCCGTTTGAGATGACCTTGCCCGTTTTCCTCTTCTTTTGAGCCTATTTTCTTGCCACCTTGCATGTATTCATCTAACTCTTTGTCTAATTCTGCTGTCTGTTCTTGAGCCGCCTTCTTAAGTTTCTTTGCAAGCAAATAATTGTAGGCCTCGCATTGTCTGCTTTTGTCAATAGTGCCTTCCATTTCCAATATACCAAGATCATCAGCCACTGCATCTTGAGTCTGCTCCTGCAGCACAGCACCCCAGATGTTGTTAACCTTCTTCCCTCCAGCAAAAGGCAGTTTCTGGCTGCTCTGGCCAAACTGAAAAGGCTCTGGTTTGGGAGGGGGGTTGAAACATTTCTGTCGCTTGCGTTTCCAAAGAGAGCTATCATCATCTGAATCAGAAAAACTCTCTTCACTTGAGTCCACACCTTTAACAGTCCGATAATGTGACACTGGTGCACAGGCTGCTGCAGTGCCCTGGAAGGGCCTCACTGCACTGTCCCCTCCTAGTGCTTTCTGCAAGAGAAAGGAAATAAATCAATTCCACAAAACACATCAACTCCACCCACCATGTGCCAAGAAAAAAATTATTTAGGGACTCAGCTGTATCATTTTGAAGCAGAACTGATCTTCAAAAATATCTCTGAAACCAGTTCAGTCCCTACTTTTCTCAAGGTCCACATGGAATTTCCAATTTTAAAGGCACACATTTTCATTTCTAGAGCTAATGCAGAACTTAGTTTCAAGGCCTCCTTCTACAAAATTACAAGCCTTGCCCAGCCAGTGTGGCTCAGTGGTTGAGCATCGACCCATGCACCAAGGTTGCCAGTTCTATTCCAGGTCAGGGCACATGCCCAGGTTGTGGGCCAAATCCCCAGTGGGTGGCATGAATGGTCTCTCTTATCAATGTCTCTATCTCTCTCTCCTTCTCCTTTTCTCTCTCTCTGAAATCAATAAAGGGGAGGGGGGAGCGAGGTTTAATTACCAGCCTTTCATTCTCACCTTTAGAAGATTTTCAGTCTTTTCAGTTATTGTCAGAAGTTTAAAAATGACATACACACTAACCATTACTGATAGTTTAAACAGAATTTGTTTTCTTTCTTTACAAAAATGCCTTTCAGTCATTTAAACATATTAACTTCCTTTCCAGGGTTTTGTGCCTAGTCTGCTTTCAGATTACATAATAAACTATGGGTAGGAATCCCTGACACATTACTTTTAAAAATACAGAGCCCATGGCATAAAGTTTACCAAGTCAGGGGTCAATATATGTGAAACAACCAGAAAGAGACTGCGAAACAAAATAACTTGGTGTCATTTATATGCAAAAGAACCACCTTTGCTTTTTGTCCTGAAGAGTTATTTGTTGAGCTATTACGTGCTAAAAATGCGGGTGGGGGTGATTAAGTCAATTAGGTAGTCTTCCTATCCTTTCTACTGAATTTTTTAGAGACAGGAAGGGAGAGGGAGAAACAGCCATCAGCTGCCTACCGGGGATCAGCCCACAACCTGGGCATGTGCCGGCCGGAATCCAACCAGGGCCCTCGTGTGTGGGCGGAGGCTCAACCAACCGAGCCACGCCGGCCAGGGCAGTCTTATCTTCAAATAACGGCAGCGAACACTCCTCACGGCGTAGGCTCCGCCGAATCCTTACAACCGCGCCATCAGTGGCGTCCCACTACCATTATTAGTCCACAGAGCGGTGCGTTCGGCTCAACAACATGCCCCGGGCCACACCGTGATCGCACCAAGATCCCAAGCGGGCACCCAGGCTCTTTCCGAGGGCCTGCTCCTCCGGGTGAAGACAAACTCCCACTTAGAAACACTAACAAAAAGGAGCGCCACGCCAGGCCGGTGTGGGCCAGTGGCTGAGCGTGGACCCAGGCACCAAGAGGCTGCTGGTTCCATTCCGGGCCAGGGCACGTGCCCAGGTTGTGGGCCCGGTCCCCAGTCGGGGGCGTGCAGGAGGCGGCCCACCAATGATCTCGCTCACTGATGTTTCCATCTCTCTTCCCCTCTCTCTCTCTAAAAGAAAAAAAACTTAAAAATAAAATTTAAAAAAATCAATAAAGAAAAAAATTAAACGAAAAAAACAAAAAACAGCGCCACAAATCTGGGTCGGATGGGAACGTGTAAGACCAGCCAGGCCCCTGAGCAGGTGATGAACTTCAAGCCCAACCCTCAGTCTCAGGCAGCCGCGAACTCCAGACGCTCCTTCGGCCGGTGTCCCCTCCGGGACGTCCCCGCGGCGCCGCAGTGGGGAGCTCGGTATATTGACAAGGGAAGAACGGCGGGTATCAAACGGCCCCCGGGAGGCCGCTAGCCCCGCGGGCCCCCGCGCTGCGAGATGCCGGGTTAGGGAGCGCGGGGCCCGCACCCCGCCGCCCCGCCAGCGCCGCCCCGCAGCCCGGGCCCCGCACCAACCGTCAGCCCTCAACGCTCACCGGCACCTGCAGCGGCCTGTCGCTCGGTGCGACCACCATGTCGGAATCCGAGTCGGAAAGCTGTCCATCTTCCATGTCGCCGGCCTCCTGCGCCATGTTCCCGGGGCGCGGCGAGTCAGGAGAGCACTTCCGGCGCGGCGGCGGGAAAGTCCGGCGGCGGCAGCGTCTCGGGCGCCCCCGCGAGGGGCTGCTCGCGCCGGGCGGCGTGGGGGCGGGTCCTCCGCGACCGGTCGGCCCGCTGGCTGCGGACCGCTCCCGCGCACTGCGCCGGGAACGTGTGCCCGCTGCTCCCCCCCACCGTGGCGCTCTCCTCCCGACCGGGTGTTCGTGCAAACCTGTTTGTGCACGGACGGCGGCCATCGGGGATTCCTCCTTGGCCTCCCCTCACCTGGACGTCCCGGCCGGACGTCTGGCGTCCGTTCTTGCTCCTACGCGATCTTCGGGGAGCTTCCTGGGAAGCCATGCCGGGGTCCCTGCCCGGCGCAGACCGCCCGGGGGCCCGCCCACAGCAAGGCCCGCGCGCGCTGCACGCCGCCAGGGCCGCTGGCCCGCGCCGGTGCCCCTCCGGCGGTCCGCTGCGAGCCGCGGTGGGCTGCCGCGTTGTTCCTCCCGCACCCTTTGTTCTTGCAGGCTCAGGCCTTTGCAGTTGCGGTTCCCGCTGCCCGGCGGACTCCTCCAACACCCCCAACGCCCTGTTCTTTGCACAGGTTGTTCTCTGGCATGATGCAAGTCTCGGATCGAACTCAGTCTTCTCAGAATTAAGTCTTCGACCACCCCAAAATAGGAATCTCTAATGTCACTTTCAACCCTTTTTTGTCTTTTTCACGGCACAAAAACAATGTGTATTTGTTTTATTTTTTTTTGTTTGAATTTCTCACTAAAATTTCTTTTAAAAATATATTTTATTGATTTTTTTTAGAGAGAGAAAGAGGAGGGATAGAAACATCCATGCGACAGAGAAACACTGATAGGCTGCCCTCTGCACGCCCCCTACTGGGGGTCAAGCCCCAACCTGGGCATGTACCCTGATCAGAATCACCCGGACTTCTCAGTCCACCGGATGAAGCGCAATCACTGAGCCACACCAGCTGGGCTAAAATGTCTTATTTTCAGTGTTGTTTCCCCAGTGTCCCACCCAGTGACTTTTGTATATAATAGATGACCGAGAAATATATATTGAATAAGATTTTTAAAAAAAGAATAGGGTATTGATCCTAGAGAGAGGAAGGGAGGGAGAGAGAAACATTCATGTGAGAGCACAACTGTGAGCTGCCTCCTGCATGCCCCCTACCAGGGATCATCCTGCAGCCTCCTGGTGCACTGGACCACCACATGCCCAACCAATAAAGACCAGGGCTACATAAAGAGGATTAAAACTTTTTTTTTCCTTAATTGATTTTAGAGAGAGAGAGGAAGTGAGAAGGAGAGAGAGACAGAAACATTGATGAGAGAGAACATTGATTGGCCACCTCCTGCATGCCCCCCACTGGGGATTTGGCCCACAACCTGGGCATGTGTCCTGACTAGGAATAGAACTGAAGACCTCTCGTGCATGGGTCGATGCTAAACCATTCAGCCACACCAGCTGGACAAGAGGATTTTATGATTTGTACCTTTCACTATCGTGTAATCTGCTTTAAAGAAATACACTCAGGACCTGGCCGGTTTGGCTCAGCAGTTAGAGCATCAGCCTGCGGTCCAGAGAGACCCGGGTTCAGTTACCACTAAGGACGCGTACCTTAGTTGCAGTTTGTCCCCGGCCCTGGTTGGTCATTTGGGTGGCAGCCACTTGATGTGTCCCTTTCATGTCGATGTTTCTCTCTCTCTTCCTCCCACTCTATCTGAACAAAAACGGGAAAAATGTCCTCGGGTGAGGATAAAATAAATATATATATATCTATTTTTTTTAAATACACTCAGAAGAGGGGATGGTGAGGGAAGAGAAGAGATAAACCACAGAACTTATATGCATGTACCCGTAACCAATGGACATGGACAACAAAGCCGGGTATGGGGTGGGGGAGATGGGGAGGAGGGTGTCAATGGGAAAAAAAAAGAGAAACATCTGTAACAAAAATAATTAATAAAAAATTATAAAAAGAAATACACTGGCCAGTTTGACTCAGCAGTTAGAGTATGGGCCTGCAGACCAAAGGGTCTGAGGTTAGATTCCCAGCCAAGGGCATGTAGCTAGGTTGCAGGTTCAATTCCTGACCCAGATGGAGTCATGTGGGAGGCAACCAATTGATATTGTCTCTTTCACATCCATGTTTCTCTCGAGTGCACTTTCTCTTCCTTCCTCCCATTCACCCATCTCCCTATCCCCCAAATCCTCAGGTGAGGATTAACAAATCAAAACAAAAGACTCTTGCCCAGCCCTGGCCAGTTTGGCTCAGCAATTAGAGAGAGCATAGGCCTGGGGACCAATGAGTCATGAGTTCGATTACGGTTAAGGGCAAGTACCGGTTGTGATTGGTTCCTGGCCCTGGCTCTGATTGGGATCATGGAGGAGGCAGCCACGCAATGTGTCCCTCTCACGTTTATGTTTCTCTCTCCCTCCCACTCTGTCTGAACAAAAATGAAAAAATATCTTCAGGTGTGGCTCTGTGGATTGAGTCAGGTCCCAGTTGGATTCCTGGTCAGGGCACATGCCTGGTTTTCGGGCTTGATCCCCAATAGCAGCAGATTGATATTTCTCTCTCACATCAGTGTTTCTATCTCTCCCTCCCTCTGTCTCTAAAAAGTCAATAAAAATATATTTTAAAAAGAAATACACAATATAGCAATTTATTCTGTACCAAAATACAAAGATCTAACTCCTTTTGAATGATTCCTTAGTATTCCATTGCACATAGGTACCATTCTTTACTTAGTCTCCAATAGTGTATGTTTAGGCTGTAGCAAATTTTGCAGTTAATATGCATTTTTGCAAACTTCTTTTATTATTTCCTTAGGATATGTTTCTAGATTGTATGGAAAAGATGAATATAGATTTTTGAGATGTGAATTTAAGACATATAAAGGAAGTTTAGAAATCACTTAGTTTAATTCCTTATTTTGAGAAATGAAGTGAGATAACACAGCTATTGAAGAGCTGAATCTTGACTTCAGGTCTCCTAACTCCTAGACAAGTTTATTTATTTATTTTTGGTATGTGCCCCTAGCGGGAACCGAATCCAAGACTCTCTGGTCTGCAAACCAATGCTTCAACCGCTGAGCCAAACCAGCTAGGGCGACAATTTATTGTTTTACTTTTTCTACATACAATTGCAGTCACCCTGGAATTGATTTATGTGTAGTGTAAGGTAGGAGTCAAATTTCATGCTATAATTATTTTACTCTGTGGTATGGGATACAAGTAAATATCAAGTAATGCATGGGATAGCCCCCCACCCCCAACATGTCGCCCAATGTTTTCCTCTAGAAGTTTTAGAGTTTTAGTTCTTACCTTTAGGTCTGTGGTCCATTTGAGTTAATTGTATAGTGTGAAGTAAAAGTCAAGGCTCTTTCCCTGGCCGGTTTGACTCAGCAGTTGGAGCATCGACCTGCGGACCAGAGAGTCCCAGGTTCGGTTCCTGCTAGTGGTACATACGGGGTGGGGTGGGGGTGTGTGTGTCAAGGTCCTTTTTTCATGTGAATATCCAATTAATAGCACCATTTGTTGAAAAGACTCTCTTTTCCCCCAATAAATTTTCTTGATTCTGTACTTTCACTGAAAATTGACTAGATATACAAAGGTCTATATCAGGGTTCTCTATTCTGTTCCATTGATCGTTATGTCTATCTTGACACCAATGTGAAACCTTCTCAATTACTGTAGTTTTATAATAATTGTAAAATTGTTAAAATTAGGTAAATTTGTTTTTTTCCCCCCAAATTGTTGTGCTCTTCTAGATCCTTTGCATTTCCATTTAAATGTTATAATCTGTTTACCAATTCTGGTGTTTTGATTGCGATTTCTTTGAATATATAAATTAATTCACACATTAGAGAGCCTGTCTTAGCCTGACACCATTACCCTTGCTAGAATCATTTATTTTATTTTATTATTTATTTATTTCTTTTTCTTTATTGATTTTTAGAGAGAGAGGAAGGGAGAAGGAGAGAGAAATAGAAACATCGATGAGAGAGAACATTGATTGGCCGCCTCCTGCATGCCCCCCGCTGGGGATCGGGCCCACAACCTGGGCATGTGCTCTGACTGGGAATCAAACTGGAGACCTCTTGGTACATGGGTTGATGTTCGACCATTGAGCCACACTGGCCGGGCAGAATCATTTATTATTATTATTTATCCTCACCCAAGAACATTTTTCCATTTTTTGAGTGGGAGGGAAAGAGAGAGAAACATCGACATGAAAGGGACACATCGAGTGGTTGCCACCCGCTTGACCCAACCAGGGCCTGAGACAAACTGCAACCGAGGTACATGCCCTTAGTGGACACCGAACCCGGGTCTCTCTGGACTGCAGGCCAACACTCTAACCACTGAGCCAAACCAGCCAGGGCTGAATCATTTATTATTAATCAACAACTCTTCTGATTCTGGGCTCATTATACAACCAGAGAGGTAGTTTGTATCCTGGAAGAGAATGCATTGATCAGAAGATTGAGTGGTTGGTTTTCTGAAGATAAATTTTCCTATAAAATAATAAGCCAGAATTCTACTCATAGCATTATTTTTTGTTAACTGGATTAATATCAGTCTGCCTAGAACAATAGTGTTACTCACCCATGCTCTGATAAATCAGGGTCTCAGTTTGCAATCATGAAATTGCATCCTGAGTTGTGATGATTTCTCCAACTTTGCTGCCTTGGGGAAAGCACACATGTTCAGGTTACATCCCCCTGCCTCCTGGCCAGCTATCTTTGAGGAATGAAGACCGACTACATTCACTGACAATAGCCTAAGCACAGGTCATTTGTGCCTGTGCTGTAACTCCAGAATCCTTGCTTTAATCACCACCTATGATGCCTTTGATAAGTCAGTTGAAAATCAGAATTGGCCATTTGCAAACTCTGCCTCTTTTATTTTAATTTTTTGTTAATCTTCACTGAAGATATTTTTTCATTATAGGGAGTAGGAGGGAGGGAGGGAAGGAGGGAGGGAGGGAGGGGAGGAAGAGTGAGAGAGAGAAATATCGATGTGAGAGAGACACATCAATTGGTTGACTTCTGCACAACTTCGACAGGGGCCAGGGATCGAACCTGTAACCCAGCTATGTGCCCTTGATCACAATTGAACCTGAGACCCTTTGGTCAGCAGGCTGATGCTCTAACCACTGAGCAAAATCAGCCAGGGCAACTCTGCCTATTTTAATACAGAATTGGTTAAATTCAGAATTGGTGTCCTGAGGTCAGTCACTACATTTAAATTTCTATAGTGCTTTGGAGTTTTTATATATGCTTTTATATATGATTCATTTAATTCCCTTTCAGATATGAAATGTGCTTTTGTATGATTCATTTAATTTTATCTCTTTCTGCTCTGCCCCATCAAAATTCATATTTTCCTTACCTCCTGCTGGGCAGAACTAAGTGAGTTTTGAAAAAAGGAGGTGGAAGAGAGACGTGATCCTAATTTTCAATGATGGCATTTGCTGGTGTGTATCTTCCCAGATCTGGCTATCAGCCATGAACCTCTCTTCTTGACTTAGTAAAGAGAAGCTAACATTTTTTAAGGATGTTATGCATTGCTCCTAAAAGTTAGTACATTTGTAAATGTCTTTTCATTTTTTAATCAAATGAAGACAAGAGAAGGAAGGGTGTGGTGTTGAGGTACCTGTACAAAGAATCTTGCTGGCAGCCAGAAAGTGAGAATTAAATTCTCAGTTAAAATACCTTTGAAATTGGCCAATTTGGTTCAGCAGTTAGAGCATCGGCGGGAGAACCAAAGAGTCTCAGGTTTGATTTTGGTTAAGGGCATGTACCTCGGTTGCAGTTCATCTCCGGCCCTGGTTGGGGTCATGCAGGAGACAACCAGTCGATGTGTCTCTTTCACATCAATGTTTCTCTCCCTCCCACTCTATCTGAACACAAACAATGGAAAAATATCCTCGGGTGAGGATTAAAAAAAGAAAAGCAAAAAGAATGTCAGAGAAATAACCCTGACCGGTTTGGTTCAGCAGTTAGAGTGTCAACACACAGACCAAAGAGTCATAGGTTCAATCCCCAGTTAAGCGCACATAAGTTACTTTGGTTGTGGGTTCGATACCCAACCCTGTTGGGGTGGTGCAGGAGGCAACCAATCAATGTATTTTTCTCACATCGATGTTTCTCTCTACCTCCCTCCCTCCCTCCTACTCGACCTTAAAAAATAAAAATCAATGAAAAAAAAATTTTCAATCCTCCTCAGGTGAGGATTGAAAAAAAATTAATAAAATAAAATGTCTGAGAAATAAAATGAAGGAAATGAGTGCTTCAATCCTAGGGAAAGATGGAAGACAATAGGTGAGTTGTTGATAGAGAGAACCAATGCTGGACAGGGTATCCATAGTTATTACTCCTAAGGTGTATTCAAAGGTTCATTTGTTCATTCATTCATATAGGTAGACATTACCCTAATACAATGATGGGAATTGTGGAGCTGAGCAAAGATAAGTCAGAAGATGGTACTTGCCTTAATAGGGAAAAATGTAACATTTATAAATGGAAGTATCATTCAGTACTTACTACAGTTTCTTGGTGGGTGCTTGATACATACCAAATATTTGCTGATATTATTTGTGCCATAAGGGTGGAACAGATAAAGCTCAAGTTTGAATGGACGAAGGGTTTGACCAGTGGAGAGAACAGTAAGGGCAAAGACACTGTGGGAGGTCTACACAGGCTTTATATAGAAACATAAAATGATTTATTTCATCTGGCTGTAATGTGAAAGTCCACAGGCAAGTAGCAAGAGTAATACTTTGAAAAATAGGTTGGGACTCACTGAAACACTTATTAATTCAATTGATTTGAGAGTGTGTATATTAACTCATGTTCAGATCACCGTGACTGAGAAATTAGTATTTCCCTTATATAGGGTAGGCCCAGTTATTGTGGAATTAAATGGGAAATGGGATGGTAAGGAGGGAATGAATGGAAAGGATGATGCAAGAAGATAGAAGAAATTGAGAATGAAAGAAATTGATCAAAACTCTCTTTGTTCTTCAAAAGCAAGAATATTCTCAGGATATTTAGAAGGAAGTACCATAATTTAACATTTTTTTTTGTTAATTAGAAAACTCTAATTTGTAATATGACAAAGCAGTGAAAACAAACAACCCTCTACCTCCCTCCACCAAAACAAAACAAAACAAAACAACAACAACAACAACAACAAAAAAAAAACCCACAAAAAACAACTCCTCCTTTGGCTATTCCATGGAATAGCAGCAGCGCCATCACTTGGGACCTAGTTAGAAATGCCGATTCTCAGACCCCGAGCCAGAACCACAGATTCAGAATGTGCATTTAACATGATGCCCAGGTGACTACATACACATTACAGTCTGAGAAGCCTGCTCTAACCTACTGTACTTTATAGGGACAATATTTTGCTGGGAAGAATTTCTAGCTAGGGTGTCGCGATTCCGGAGGTCTTTCACTAGATGGCAATATCCTTTCGGCTTCCTCCAGCATCCTTTTGGGTTCCTCCTTGTGGCAACCCCTTTGTTCCAGCCCTAAATTAAGCTCAGGGTGAAGACCGGGGCCGGCCTTGAGGGGTGGGGGCGTGTCCCGGGGCGGGGCCGGGTCTGCCCAATGGGCTCTCCCGGGCGCGGGGCGGGGCTGTATTTCAGGCACTCCTCAGGCCGCAGGCGCGCTGCGCGCCCTGGGCTCAGTATGTGGCGAGTACCTTGCCACCTTTGTGTGCGCGCTGCAAGGGGGAGCAAGCTCTTAGGACCTTGGAACAGGCCTGCCGCCTTCATGTCCACTCTGCTCATCAATCAGCCCCAGTATGCTTGGCTGAAGGAGCTGGGGCTCCGTGAGGAAAACGAGGGCGTGTATAATGGAAGTTGGGGAGGCCGGGGAGAGGTATGCGGGCGTCCCGGGAAATCTCTGCGGCTTCAGTTCCCTCCGGCGGCCCGGCGGGCTCGGCTCCATCCGACTCCCCGCTGCTGCCGTAGGCGGTTTTACCGGGTGGGAAGTTTCGGCGCTCCGCAGTATAAGTTTTCTCGTGTAGGGTGCCTTAAAACATACCCCTAGATTTTAGGTCCTTGTGTGCTGTGGAGAGTCGGTTCGATGTCGTTTTGGAGCTGGCTGGAGTTAAACTTTTCATGCATACTTTAAACCTTAGGGCAGAGTTCTGCAGTCTGTAGTGAGAAATGCAACCCGCTTAACGGTGGAAATTACCTTAATTTTGTGCCTGACTGTGGTTCCTCAGATGTAACATGCGCCACAGGTAATGTTCTAGTGTATAGTTTTACTTTGTCTTCTTTTCCCATATCCTGTGGAATCTGCAAGCTCGGATTTCCTGAAATCCTGCCCTGTTTTCATTGGGCTCTGAGCTTCCTTGAGGACCCGCCTTTCCGCATTTCTTCGTTTCCAGAGCCTAACACCATGCCTGGCGCCCAGTTAGAGCTCAATAAAACGTTTTGGAAAGCTAAAGTAATTATCGCCTAGATTTTTTGAGAGTCGCATACAGGAGAAAGCTTTCGAAAGAAAATGTTACATAACATGCAACAAAACAGCATGTTGTACAGAGGAAACTCCTTTCTTTTGGTGACTGTAGGAGACGCAGGTGGTTTTAATACCCAAGGTCCCCCTTAATTGGTAATTTCCTGTTTTGTTTTGCTGTTTCCCCTCTGACATCTAATCATTAAGTTCTTGGATAAAATATTTTTTCCTGAAGACCCCCCCCCCCCTTTAAAATGGCAATGCCTTGATTTTTTTTCTTTCTAGTTGACCTTTTCAGTTTGTGTGGACACAGTTGTTTGTCCTTGGCAGTTTTATGACCAGAGGGTGGGCAGGGCAAGGATCGGTTGTTAATGGAAAAAGAGACAAAATGCCCAGTTACATTTAGACTTTTGTTAATGTACCTCATACTGTACTTAGATGACAAGGGTGGGTTTTGCAGAAAGGAGGTTCTGAATGTTTAGGTCAAAATGAAAAGCTCTGTAGAGTGGCTAATTTGTAACAGAAGTTAAGGTTCCGAGTTTGGATATTGTATCTTAGCCTTCCCCACCCTCCATCTCCAATTTGGTCTGTTCCCCCAGTTTGGATGGGATTACATTTTCTATATATGGTAGTCAGTGGTTATCTTTTTGTTTTTAGGTTATCACGACCTATTGTCCTGCTAACAATGAGCCAATAGCAAGAGTCCGACAGGTAAGTACTTTTTTTGTTTGTTTGTTTGTTTGTGGTACATGACTGGATCGGGAACCGAACCCGGGACTTTCTGGTCTGCAGGTTGACACTCAACTGCTGAGCCAAACTGTCCAGGGCGGTAAGTATTAAAAAAAAAAAAAAAAATCCTCACCCGAGGATATCTTTCCATTGATTTTTAGAGAGCGTGGAAGGCAGAGAGGGAGAAAGAGAGAGAGAAAAATCCACATGGGAGAGACACATTGATTTGTTGCCTCCTGCATGACCCTGACCAGGGTCAGGGATCAAACATGCAACCCAGGTGTGTGCCCTTGATTGGGACCCTTGGGTCCGAAGGCCTATGCTCTAAAGGTGGAGCCACACCTGCCAGGGCAGTACTTTTATTTTTTCATTCAAACAGCCTACAAAGAGTGGGCGTGATCAAGAGCAATACAAAATTACAAAGTCAAAGAACAATGTTTCTCTTTCATTGACATTTCAGGACTTCTGGGAGAGACTGTCCACTCTTTGAGTGGAAGTTTGTGTGCCCTAGAAAAGGTGAATTATAAAGAGAAGGGGGATCCCTTTAAGGCCTTACTTCTGAATCACCTGGGGACTTCTAAAATGAAGGTACTCACCTCTTAAGTTGGGGTTGGATCCCAAGGCTCTGATATTCTAATACACCTCAGGTGTTGTTTCCAGATGAGGCTAACGGACCTTGCTTTGAGAAGCAAGATTTTAAAAAGCACAGTTAGATTCTACCTGTCTTACTGGGCTGCAGTGAGTTCTTGGAAGCATGGACTTTGAAAAGCATTCCAAACCACCCATCTTAGGGTCACTCAGAGATTTCTAATTCTTTTCCAAAATAATCTGTGTGTTCTTAGGAGATCAGCATTTCCCTTTCCTTTCCCCTTTGTCTAACCCTAATTCTTTTTTTGTTATTTACACCCCCCTTAATTCTTAATTTAGGCTAGTGTGGCTGACTATGAAGAAACTGTAAAGAAAGCAAGAGAAGCATGGAGAATCTGGGCAGATGTAAGTATGGAGGCCATGGCTATTTACTGTAATTGCAATGAAAGAAGGAAACATTTGATGAGCAGGTCAGTGCCTTCTTGCTGAAACGGGAGCTCTTTGTGGGCTGTGATAATCTCTGCTATAGTTTTAGAATAATGCTTTTTACATATTAGGCTTTCAGTATTAATGGATAATTTAAAAAAATATTTGTATTGATTTTTAGAGGAAGGGAGAGAGAGACAAAGAGAGACAAAGAAAGAGAGAAAGAGAAACATCTATCGGTTACCTCCTGCACACACCCCACTGAGGATCGAACCCGAAACCTTCAGGGTATGTGCCCTGACCAGGAATCAAGGACCCGCCACCTTCTGGTGCATGGGATGATGCTCCAACCAACTGAGCCACACAGGCCAAGGCACCAATGGGTACTTTTAAATGGATTAAAACTCTTACCGATAGTCCTCCCTGGCTGGTGTGACTCAGTTGGGTGGGCCTGGTCCCATGCACTGAAAGGTTGCAGGTTTGATTTCCAGTGAGGGCACGTGCCCGGGTTGCGATCCCCAGTAGTGGGCATGCAGGAGGCAGCTGATCGATGTCTTGCTCTGACATCTATGTTTCTCTCTCTTCCTCTCCCTTCCTCTCTCTGTAAAAATCAATAAAAAAAATAGAACCCTTACTGATGTAGCATAAATTCACTGTATTGAAGGGCAAGGAATATCTATATTAAAAATACCCATTTGCTGCTTCTCCCTCCCCACCAGCTTTATGGGGGTGAGGGGGGGTATCTCAGAAATACGTCCACGGTTCTGGTTCACAGGGCAGTGCTGGCAGCTCTTTCAAAGGGCAGGGCTGGGCTCTTCAACCATCTCATCAGACTTCCAGGCGGGTTCTGCTTCCTCTGGCTCCGCCTCCATCGGGTCATGTGAGCAAGTGTAGGGATTGTGATTGGAGTTTGCCCCACTTAGCTGTCACTAGATGAGGGTCAGGCTCTGGAGGAGGGGAGAGTAAAGGGCAGGGTTAGCCTGGATTTCCCAATCCTCCCTCACCTCACCCTGAATATCCCTTTTGGTCTGCCACCAAAAATTCTAGGCCTGAGGCTGTAGGGCTCACCTGGGGTTAACCCAGCTCTACCCCTGGGGATATTACTTCACCTCAGTGTGTTTTGTCATGTTAAAAGGGGAGACTGTGTGTGCGCACTTCCTGGGTTATCACGAGGGTAAAATGAGTTAATCATGTAAAATGCTTACTGGAGAGCTTGGCACATGCAAATCTCAGTACCTGCCAGTGATAAAACCACGTGCCTCTAGTTTTGGGACTGCTGAGCCAAGCATTTTCGCTGAGCCAATGATTGCTAGGGGGTCTTGGGGAGGGGCAGACGCTCTGGGAGAGCCCTGGGTTGGATGCAGCATTGTTGTTTGCTAAGAGACTGTCTGTGCAAAACACAAGGAACATTTTTCCTCTACTTTAACTGTGGCCGTAAATTAGGCTGAGGGCGCCATTGTACACAATCAAGAATGTGCCTATGCAGGAAAACACCACTTCCAAAAGTGAGTAGTGCGCTAAGTAAAGTTCACCCCACCTGGGTGGAGAGTAGAGTCCAGAGCCCTGTCACTTACTGTAACGTTTTAAAAATAACTTACCATTTTTCTTTCTGGTCATAAAATTAATGCATATTCCCTACTTTAAAAAAAATTTGGGCCCTGGCCGGTTTGGCTCAGCGGTTAGAGCGTCGGCCTGCGGTCTGGAGAGACCCGGGTTCGGTTCCCGCTAAGGGCACGTACCTCAGTTGCAGTTTGTCCCCGGCCCTGGTTGGTCGTGCGGGTGGCAGCCACTCGATGTGTCCCTTCACATCGATGTTTCTCTCCTCTCTCTCTGTTCTTCTCTCTCCCTCCCACTCTACCTGAACAAAAAATGGAAAAATGTCCTCTGGTGAGGATAAAAAAAAAAAAAAAAAAAAATTTGGATGATGCAGTAAACAGGATAATCAAATTTAATCCCCTTCCTTTCTCAATATAGAATGCATATTGAGTTATGTTTTGGTGCATTTCCTTCCAGTCTTTTATGTGTTTGTTTCATAGTTGTGATTATTATACATACATGCATATATATATGGTGTTTAAAATTTTGTGGCCTGTGATTGCAGTGTATACCAGCCTAAAATCACTGCATAATTTTTTTTTTTTTTTTTTTGGTGATACATGCTCCTAGCAGGAACCGAACCCAGGACTCTCTGCTCTGCAGGCCAATGCTCAACCTCTGAGCCAAACTGGCCAGGGCTTTTTTTTTTTTAATTGCTGCATAATTTTTAAACATTATTATTTTCTTGTATGTATACTATATTTTTTGTTATTTTTCTTTTCTTTTTTTTTTCTTTTTCTCTTGATTAATTTTTGTTACAGATGTTTCTCCTTTTCCCCCCACTGATTCCCCCCTCCCCCTCCCTCCCCGCCCTGTCCCCAGCTTCGTTGTCCATGTCCACTGTTCATGCATACATGCATATAAGTTCTGTGGTTTATCTCTCCCCCACCACGCCCTCTTCTGGGGATTGTCAGTCTGTACCCCACTTCCACGTCTCTGGGAGTACCCCATTCCTCAAACTGTTATGTTCATTATATTCCACAAATAAGTGAGATCATATGATACTTGTCTTTCTCTGTTTGGCTTGTTTCACTTAGGATGATACTTTCCAGGTCCCTCCATGTGGTCTCAAAGGATAAGAGATCTTTCTTTCTTACAGCTGCGTAGTACTCCATTGTGTATATGTACCACTGCTTTTTTGTCCATTCGTCTACTGATGGACACTTGGACTGTTTCCAGATCTTAGCTATTGTAAATAGCACTGCTACAAACATGGGGGTACATATATTCTTTGTGATTGGTGTTTCAGGCTTCTTAGGGTATATTCCTAGAAGTGGGATCACTGGGTCAAATGAAAGTTCAATTTATAATTTTCTGAGGTGACACCATATTGTTTTCCATAGCGGCTGCACCAGTCTGCATTCCCACCAGCAGTGTATTAGAGTCCCCTTTTCTCCACACCCTCGCCAACACTTGTTTGATGATTTGTTGATGGCGGCCATTCTGACAGGTGTGAAGTGATACCTCATTGTTGTTTTAATTTGCATCTCTCTGATGATTAGTGATGATGAACATTTCTTCATATGTCTCTTGGCCATTTGTATGTCCTGTTTGGAGAGGTGTCTATTTAGTTCCTCTGCCCATTTTTTAATTGGGTTCTTTGTCTTCCTTTTGTGGAGTTGTATGAGCACTCTATATATATTGGAAATTAACCCCTTATCTGATATATCATTGGCAATTATGCTCTCCCATACAGTGGGTAACCTTTCTGTTTTGATGATTGTATCTTTCGCTATGCAGAAGCTTTTGAGTTTGATGTAGTCCCATGTGTTCATTTTTTCCTTTGTTTCTGTTGTCTTAGGTGATGTATCAGTAAACATTCTGCTGCGTATGATGTCTGAAATTTTGTTGCCTACATTTTCTTCTAGGATTTTTATGGATTCATGAGTCACATTTAAGTCTTTTATCCATTTTGAGTTTATTTTTGTGTATAGTGTAAGTTGATGGTCTAGTTTCATTTTTCTGCATGTAGCTGTCCAATTTTCCCAATACCATTTATTAAAGAGGCTGTCCTTACTCCACTGTATGCTCTTGCCACCTTTGTCAAATATTAATTGAGCATATTGTCTTGGATCCATTTCTGGGTTCTCTGTTCTGTTCCACTGGTTTATATGCCTGTTCTTGTGCCAGTACCAGGCTGTTTTGATTACAGTGGCTTTGTAGTATAACCTGAAATCTGGAAATTTGATCCCTTCAACTTTGTTCTTCTTTTTCAAGATTGCTGTGGCTTTTCGAGGTCTTTTTTGGTTCCGTATGAACTTTTGAAGTACTTGTTCTAATTCTGTGAAGTATGCCGTTGGTATTTTGATGGAGATTGCATTCAATCTATAGATTGCTTTGGGTAATATGGACATTTTAATGATGTTAATTCTTCCAATCCATGAACAGGGTATGTGCTTTCACTTTTTTATATCTTCCTTTGTCGAAGGCTTTTTTGGCATCTATTGATATGATCGTGTGTTTTTTATTCTTCATTTTATTTATGTGGTGTATCACGTTTATTGATTTGTGAATATTGTACCAGCCTTGCATTCCTGGGATGAATCCCACTTGGTCATGGTGGATCATTTTTTTTTTGGTGTATTGCTGGATCCGATTTGCTAGTATTTTGTTCAGGATTTTGGCATCTATGTTCATCAGGGATATTGGCCTGTAGTTTTCTTTCTTTGTAGTGTTTTTTTCTGGTTTTGGAATTAGAATTATACTGGCTTCATAAAACGAGTTTGGAAGTCTTCCTCCTTCTTGAATTTTTTGAAATAGTTTGAGGAGAATGGGTATTAGTTCTTCTTTGAATGTTCAGTAAAACTCCCCCTGAAGCCATCCGGGACTGGGCTTTTGTTTGCTGGGAGAGTCTTGATTGCATCTTCAATTTCTTCTGTTGTTATTGGTCTGTTCAAGGTTTCTATCTCTTCCTGGTCCAGTTTTGGGAGACTATGTGTTTCTAGAAATTTGTCCATTTCGCTTAGATTGTTGAATTTGTTGCCATATAATTGTTCATAGTAGTTGTTAACAATCTTTTGTATTTCTGTGGTGTCAGTTGTTACTTCTCCTCTTTCATTTCTGATTTTGTGTATTTGGGTTCTCTCTCTTTGTTTCTTGGTGAGTCTAGCTAAGGGTCCATCAATCTTGTTTATCTTTTAAAAAACCAGCTCTTTGTTTCATTGATCCTTGGAATTATTTTTTTGGACTCTATGTCGTTTATTTCTGCTCTGATCTTTACTATTTCCTTCCTTCTACTTGCTCTGGGGTTTTCTTTTTGTTTGCTCTGTAGTTCTTTATGTTGTGAGGTTAGATAGTCTATTAGAGATTTTTCTTGTTTTTTGAGGTAGGCCTGTAGTGCTATGAACTTCCCTCTCAGAACTGCTTTTGCTGCATCCCATAGA